AAAAATGTTCTGGGTTAGTCCTGCGCCAGGCAAAGGCAACCATCCATGGTATTGCTTTTTCTCGAGGACCTGGGCGCACCTGTTGGGTGATGCAGGAGGATGGAGAGGTCCGATGCGTACCACAGGGGGACTTGATTCTGGGTGAGAACATACCGTGAATTATACTGTGCCTTTGTTAATTGTTTTTTTGTTTTTGTTAACTGCTAAATGGCAGCTTGGCATGATGCAGATGGTATAGAATAAAGGGGTGGATTATGTTCGGCTAGGATAGGGTTAAGTTTCCCCAGCATGTGGGGAAGGAGCTCTAGCTGCGTTATTCAATACCATGCTGATGTCAGGTCCGGGCACCCAAGCACAAGAATACCATTGTGATGGTTTGTGTTCATGGCTGGTACCCTCATTTGCTGTATTCCATGTGGTATATCTCTTGTTGTGTTCATTGTTATTATTGTTATTGTTATTTGTTGATGTTCGGTTTGTTGTTGTTACACTGTTGTATTAAATTTTTCCTTATCTCAACCCCGGGGTTTGTATCTCACTCCTTGTCTCATCTGGTCCAAGGGTGGGGGAGGGACAACAGCAACGTGGTCTCAGATCCCAGCAGGGCCTAAACCACCACACATGGATAGAATACACTGATAAGGAATTTCATGGGGTGCTTAGTTCAAAAGGATTATTGAATGGCAGCCTGATGAAAGAGGAAATTAAATTTAAAAACTACTAGTGTGAAGTCATCAAATCAAGATATACTTCCAGACTGCATCAGGTCTACAGTAGACCAAGGTACCATCCATTTATGTATCACAGGATACAAGAATCTCCCTGTGTGACAATCACACTTCAGGGGCTACCCAAAATAAAATAAATATTTCAAATATCTACCGTAAAGAACTGACACTAAATAGCCATGGTTGAGAGTATAAACAGTGTACACTAGACAAAAAAGACGAAAATATACAAAAATTCATTTTTGTCTCCAGCCTTTAATATGTACCACATACCTTATAAAGTTTCAGTTTGATATTTAAAAGACCTATTCAGGGTAACAGCTAAACAAAGCTTTCCACACAAAGTTGAAGAAAAAGGCTGAGAAAGGGCAATCTGTTAGACTTCCTGGGCCCTATGACATAGGTAACAGGTGCTTGGGTAGATCTTCAGCGATATCCACCTTGTCCCTTTGTTTGGAAACAAATACACAGGCCAGAATTCAGTGGAGCAATAGACCATCTCTGCTGTCCAATGTCATAACTGTGGTCCAATAAGGCTAACAAGGTAACAGCAAAAACATCAGTTTTTATGAGGGAGGACATAAGTTTCATAGCGCCTCTACAGCCTCTACTATTAAATGTGGTCAAGATTTGATGGACTTAAGATTTTGAAGGACTTGAACTGAATGCATTTCAAAGAGATTGCCATATGTTTTTCCTTTATAAGAACTTATATGATAGTGTGAAGAATCATAAATAATAGAAAACATCTTGCTTCATGCTCCAAAACAATTGCTGTCTAAGATTATGACTGGATTCCTTTATGGATATTGCATTATGATAAGCTAGCTGTACCTTCCTGAAGACAGTGGTTCTTCTTTATCAGCAGCTGGATAATAGTTTTGTTGGACTGCTGTTCAGTTGTGCTATTTCAATTTCTGCATATGTCCTTAAGGGCCAGGAGATACCATACAAGGTTCAAAGAGAAAAAAAGATTCCCAGATAAAAAGGGTCTTCTGCATTGTCACTGAATTTCTGTGTCACATCTATAGGTTTCTTTCTTTGATGTTTGAGAACCGAGTTGTCAGACCTCTTTTTAAGAAACCTTTTTGTAGTTTACTTATAGGTGTGCAGAAGTAATCCTGTCACAACAGAGAGAAAGCTTATAAAAAGATACTTTAAAATCTTACTACTAAAAAAACAGTGAAGAACATAATGTGTAATATAGTCTTCAAATATTTCTTCTTACCTTCTTATTAAAATAAGTTGATATGTACGGACTTATTCCTAATTATGCAGATTGCTTATACATTTCCTTTGCATGTTTTAATATGCTTTATATAGGCCAAAAATGATAATTACATCATCTAGCATGACATCACAGCTCATCAAATTTTACACTTTATTTTATCACACTAGGACAAAAGCCCTCATAGAGGTATCTTGAGTAAAATGTTAGAAAGCACCCAGCTTCCTGAAGAAAAAATAATCAATTATACTAGATATGACTAAGTGAACTGTACCCCTGATTAGAAGGGAAGTGAAACTCCACAGTGCTCTGCAAAGCAAGTCAGGAAGAAATTTTTATGAACTGAAACCAAGACAACAATGAGTTTGAGTTCTTTCTCACAGTATGGGATCTGTGGTCCTTCCTCTAACCATCACCCATTCTGTGCCCTAGAGGAGAGGAAAAATCAAAAGTAACCACAATACATTAATGCAGATATACATCGAGTGAAACACAAACATCTTGACTTTACAGGCAATTATTTTAAGGCCTAAATTATGAGATATTATTATACATAGTGCCCTGCCCTGAGGTGCAAAGATGAGACTGTGGAGAACAATCAAGTCTTCTATAACTTTAAATTCCTTACTTTTACTCCCAAGCCCAAACATGAGGGGACCGAGTCTTATCCTCAAAGACCAGAAAGAACACAATAATTATTCAGTGTGTCCCTCTGTACTCCCCACTAGTAGAATGTATTCCACAAGTTAGATGAAAGTGCATCTAATTTTGTTTTAAAGGAACCATGACCCTTTCGGGTCTTCCAATAATTTTGTGTATTATTTCTAGAATAATTATCTTAATTTCAATTCCTGTTAATTAGCTTGTGTTCCATTTCTGACAACAAGATCAAATAATTCTGTGCTGTCAGATGTAATTGGTATGTTTAAATATTTATACTCATTTATCAGGCCATCTCTTGAACTTCCCTTCAATATACCAGATAAATTTAATTAATTACACCTCACACCATAATGCAAGATTCTCAGCTATGTGATCTTGGGTTTGGAGTTTGGGCTTTTTTTGGCATATCCTCTCCAGCATTTTGCATCTCCATTCCCCTTTATTATCCTTTCAAAAATTTTTTTAGCCCTCTTTTCACAGAAGCACAGAAAATTCAGATTGAGGATGTAATCTATGATAATTCTTAAACCCTAGGTTTAGACATTTATTTTTTAAGACAGCTTCTGCCATTCTCTACATATAAACTGCTTTGTTGAATTCAAAATGTATTCCTCTTAATTTGTTCCCATTATATCAGTTTTTCTGGATTCTAACCATTTAAATCACTTGATTTAGATTACCAAACTAATAATCCCTCCCATATTTTTAATAGCCTACAAGTCTTTGCATAATTAACAAACTGTACAAAATTCACTGATAGAGCTAGGCACATTTTAACAACTTTCATACCTTTCACCTCCCAGTTCCCAGTTTCCTGGTGGAAATAAGAATTATCATGTAATATATCCAGACAAGTCAAAATACATATTTGTTTTGAGTTACTTTTGCATACAATTTATGCATAACCTTTCCCTTTTTCATCCCTTCAAGGATCCAGAAATCATACTCTGAAGGCTGTAAAATCCTTGTAGAGAGAGGTTAGAACTGGAACAAGTGAAAATATCCAAAAGATCCTGCATATCAATATCAGAAGAAGAGTTTATAATCCCTCTATACCTGTGAGTTTAATAAAATGCATTTGTGTCAAAAAAACCTTCACGTGCAGTAAGTTAATTAAGTCCAAGTATACATATGTACTTTGTTTACCAGACCCATGATCCAGTCAAAACAAAACCGGACAGAAAAAGATCTCACAAAAAAAGCGCTATCTAACTAGTAGTAATTATAATTGTAGTCTCCAGTTCATTACTAGAAAAGTTCCAAGCTAACAAATCCATTCTTGTACCTGAAATGAGGGTCAGACTAGATAATTTATTATTCTGTATTATATCCTTTTCTGGATAATAGGACATTTGCAAACCTCACTGTTTCCCAGTTTTCCAAGATAAATTAAAAATTGACAATGATTCACTAGTTCCTTTGAGACTTCTGAAGATAAATTACTTAGCTAGTTCATTTGAAACATTCTCCAGTGGGAATAAATGTTGCCTTATCAGTGCTTTATTTCAGATAGAAAATGTTGCGTTTCCATCAACATTTGAATGACTTGGCCCTAAACCAGCCTTATCTCAGTTTCTCTTACTCTGAACAAACTTATAACCTGAGTAAGATACACCACAGTGTACAACTCGTTTTTCACAGTAGATAATTCTGCAAATATTATAGCTCAGATGAAATAAAAACATCCAGCAAGTTGTGTACATGCTTTCTTTCCTAAACATAGCTTTTTATAGGAGTCTCTCTCCCTTTCCCTGGTCTGTTTTCCGTAGGACTTTCCTTCCCCACTGAATTTGATAAGAAGTCACAATCCCTATTCTAAAAGAAAAGGTCACCTTATTTCTTTTTTCTCTATTTTTGTCCCACATAATGCAGAAATATGCACTGAAAACTCTGTATTCTATATTCTCCTTTGCAATGATGGAGAGTTCTTATAAGCTCTTACTTGACTAGACAAATAAAAGACTTTTTTTATATGTTCGGAATAGGTTACTTCAGAATGAGAGGGGGGAAAAAAGGACTCAGAGAAGCTACTTTATTCATTTTAAGTGTTGTCCAGGGAGTAAAAACTGGAAGTAAAATCTAATATTTTAGAGCAGTACTTTGGCAGGAAGACATTTTAAGTATGTGATATTTCAAAATCTGGAAAACATTTCTTGGTGATATTACATATTTTAGAGACTCCCTGTGTTGACAGTGTTTTGTTGATACTTTTATATGTGGTTGGACGTTTTTGTTGGCATCTGTAAATTCCAGAATTATTTCTGCTGTCAACAGAATTTTTTTTTTTTTTTTTTCCACCTTAAACCGATTTTTCCAGAAAGTGCCCAGTTTCATAATGGTTCTTCTATAATTTTTACAGATATTTCTTGTTTCTCTTCCAGAATGGTGCTGCACATTCAAATTTGAACCAAGTGGCTCCACTGGCTAGAACCAGTGATTCTCCAGACTTAACAACCTAAACAGTAATTTGCAAATAAAAGCTAAGATTTCTGGTGATCAAGTCTGGGAAGTTGGAGGAGAAATGGGATCCTATGGGGTAAGGAGCATGAGACTGAAAAAAAGAATAATGAGGTAAGAGTGTTGTGCGATTGGAAATGGAAAGAGGAGAAGATGGAATGAGTTAGCAAAATGACTGGTGTCAGCAGACATGCAAAATTCCGAAATTGGCAGAGGCTAAATAAACTGAACAAGAAGATGGGGCAGGAAATATTATTCAGAAAAAAAAAGAGTGGCATTGTAAGACAAACTGGGATGGAAACTTTGGGAGTCTCAGTAAAGATAATTGATAATTAAAGAGAGAAAAGTATGAAGACCAGAGCAAGAACAAAGGAAACAGTTTGAATGGAGAAATCGTCAACACAGATATGACCAATCTAATACTTATTGTTACATTGTTATTTAAAATCACAAAACGTGGTTCTCTTTGAATCTTCATTCTTGCCAGTTTCACACTAAGGAAAATATATATAACATTACTTTAGAAAGAATACATTTAAAGTATATTAGTACTGCAAGCTCAAGCACCCAGATCGAGTCTATATTATTATCCCTGTTACTTATCAAACTTATCTTGAGTTTCCATTGCCCATTGCCTCAAACAAAAATATTGTAATACCACTTTTGAAAAAATGGTGCTGTTCTGCTTTACCTTGAAAACAACTCAGCCAGCTCATCAGGGTATTGTATATATGGATTAATTAAACCTTAAAATATATAAAACAATTTATCTAATTAAAATCTAGTTTATTCAGGTTGACAAAAAATGGCATGCAATATGAACTAATATACTTAATGTTTCTATATTCTCAAATTTTATAATGTCTTCCTAATGATTTACACCTAAATTAAAAGATTAAGTTGAAATAAAGTAAAATGAATGTATCAAAGAACCGTAAATTCTAAGTATTTCTAATAATATGAGTATTTTAAAGCTCTTTAATAATTTCATACTGATTTACTGTGGTTGTTGCTGATACATTAAATACATTTAATGAGCTTTACCATAATAAAACTTAAAAAAATTGACATCAGTCAAAGATAGTTCAAAACATCTTAATATGATTTTTTTAAAAAATTAAACTAGCTGGAACAATTACTTCACCACTTTGCAATGCAATTAAATAATGCATCACTGCTCTGAAGTTAGTATTTTGAATGTCTAATAATACACCAGATACAATGCACTAAGTGTAATTTTAATACTCATTTTTATGACTCAGTGCTTTTCCAGAAAGGTCAATTTTAAGTTAGTCTAATTTTAAAAATAGCTAAAATGTCTAATGTTAGATTTATGTAGGTAAGCTACTGGTCTGGGTTCTTCACCTAATTCAGCTTTAAGGGTCTGCCTTTAAATATAGTTTGGTTCATATGTAAAATACTTTCACTCTGGGAAGATTTGTCTATGCATAGCACTAGAAGGAATTGAAATGAAAAAGTCACGACGCTGTATGTGTAGAAGTGGCACAGCAGTGAACAAATAATAAGGATAGACACACGAAACCTTGTCTCAGATATGTAGAAAGAAAAACTTGATGCAACAAGTGAGGTTTAATTAGGCTATAACTTTTAACAATTTAAGTCAGCTGGGAACTGCCCTGCAGTAACTCAGACCACAAGGGTAATCATTACTTACATTTCCACTTACTGGACAGCTGCTGCCAGTATTCACCACTTCACAGTTAGTCCAGCCAATTTCTAGGACCTCACATATAAGAAAGGCTACTGAAAGCTATAACCCTGTTTCCCTCTGCGTTAGATATGGCCTTTCTTTTAATCTGCTTTAACTCTATTCAGACTGCCAAGATGTGACAATGTGTGCAGGGCTCTAACCCACTCCACTAAGCTGTGGCTATAGGGGTGGTAAAAATACCTACTATTTGCAGTCTGGCAGCATGAGAAATACTCTATTCCATTTCCAAAGGAATTGAAGGTGCAGTGCCCATATAATAGTAATTTGTAATTAGTATAGTAATTATTAGTAACGGTAATTGTAATACCAATTCTATAGTAGCCACAGCATAAAGAAAGGGCTCAGTCTAATAGGGAAACTTTATGCTGCCTTTCCTTTGTGCTCAAGATACTAAAAACTGACCACTAAAGAACAGAAAATAAAGATGTGATATTTGGCCACTTACTCCTTGACACTTCTGCTAATATTCTATTCTCATTATCTGAGTGGGCAGAATAATGTCAGCACAGTGCTTACATAAGCCACTACACTGATATCCAAAGTCTAGGAAGGCGACATTACTCATAAGTCTCTTTCTATCTCCCTCTAGCTCTGCTGGTACAACAGCCTATGAGATGCTTGAAATGCAACAGCCATGGTAAACTATGCATAAGAAAAGTTCTGTTAAGTTTCAAAGAATAAAACAAATAAAATTGTCTTGTTTTCTAGAACTCTTTAAGAATCTATTAACCTATAGTATGCATTAAATAAGGGTTGACAAATTGTTTTCAATAGGTTTATGAGTAGAAGCCTAAAATAGAGGTTAGCAGGTTTTATGCACACCCTGAGTTAGGAAATTAAGCTGCAGAAGTGTTAAAAATAAATAAAGAAATCTTTAATCTCTCGTGTTTTAAAGCTACAGTGAGCTCTCTAAGATGGAGTAAAGCAAAATAGTAGCCTGTGAAAAGTCTAAAAATTATACAAAAATGGATCTATAATTGTCTTGTCTCTTAAGGCATAATATAAATACTGTAGCAGGTTTACCTACTACCTTCCTGAAAGTAGAATCAGATTATAAGTAACTGCAGAGAGCACATAGTTTTTTTATTTAAAAGCCTTCAATGGGTAAATCTCATAGTATTTTTGCTTTCTCTTTGTCACTGTAGAGAATGGCTCCTTTTCTCCCCCCAGGAGGGATTTTTCTCTCCTTTTCTATTCAAACAACTAAAACTTGAATCGGTGAATCTATGAAAGAGGAAAAAGAAATAGAAGCTAAGAAAAGTAAAAAGTTTGAAGGCAACTGGAAATTGACAAATAAGTGTCAGAGCAGAAAAGGATGGCAGTTTGCCAACCAGCTGTGAAAACTAATTCAGCTTTAGATAAAGAGATTTTAAAGGGGAAAAGGACAAGCAAACTTCAGAAAAAGGAGGAATAAAGGAGCAAAGAATAAATCCTTAGAGCTGTATTAAAGAAGAAACATAGGCAGTGCTTTGTTGTTTTAACTGCAGAACTGCGAGAGGGGCTTTTCATTGAGACTTTGAATAGCACCAAAGAAACAGCCAGAATAAAGTGGAAGCACTAAAGGTTTCCTTAATGCAGTAGCTTATAGACCAGCCCACAAAAAGGGATTTAAAGATTAGCTTTTCTAGATAAATAGAAATTATTAATGGCAGTAAGTGTTTTCTCCACCAGTCTACATATACAGTGTTACACACAGTTCTGTGTACAAATTCATGGCAAGAAGTAGCTGAGATTTTTAGACAAAGAAACAACTGACAAAGAATATGAAACTGCAAATTTCATTTAGGAAGCCACTTTTCACTAGGGGAAAAAAAAAAAAAAAGTATTTTAGAATAGTCTGATAATACATCTCTGAATTCTGTTTCAAGTCACAATACACCTGCTCTTTCAAGGTTTTCCAAGCATCAATGCTTCATTCACTTCCCTGCCTCACTCACACCACATAGGAGATAGAAAAGTGCTTTCCTTTCCTTTACCAGGCCTCCCAAAGTAAGTTCAGTAAGTAGACCCAAGTCTTCCTTTCACTGTGTTCATGCTTCAGAATTTTTTTTT